TGAAAGCCAAGACCAGCTTTATGGTGTTGGCATAAGAGGAAACAGAAAGTTTCCAACTGGAAACCACCACCAACCCAACAACAACAAAAGCAAACCCACCAACCAAACCTAAAGGCTGCTGACACGGTGTGCAGCGTGCAACTCACTTCACCCCAGTAGCTCAGGTACAGCTCCACTGCTCCCGAGATCGACACCTGCACCAACTCCTGCTGAAAGCCCTGGTACTGCTCCAGAAAGAAAGCCGATAAGAACAATATTCTCTCAAATTCTTGATAAGAAATACATGGAAACAGCAAACAGAAGAGCTGTGTTTCTTTAAGGGACATTCACACTGTGTTGCCCCAATATTGGCAGTAAAACACTTTGGAAACTTTGCCAGTGTTTTATTTTTCTTCAGCAGTTCCTTATTAAGGGCAATTGCACTATAAAACGATGGCACCCGAACTGACGAGGGAAAAGGGAGCAGGAAATAAGGGACAGAGTGTCCTCCAGACAGACTGTCCACCTTCCAGGCTCTGAGGGTAAGTGTGACAGTGAAAGGCACAAGTCACACACCTATCCCACGCACAGATCTCCAGCTCAAGTCTCTATAGCGTTCAATTGTCTTGTGACCATCCTGAGTCATGCGAGAAACTCAATTCCTTTAGGTTAATTACAGAAGAAACTAAGTTAATGTTTGCGCAGGACAGCACGGGCTTGGCTTGCTGCCCCGCACCGGGCTTATCAACGCAGCTGTGTCATGCAACGCAGCAGCTCATAGAAGTGACCACATTTATTTGTGTTTCTGTTACATGAAAAAAAATCACTGCTGTAAGACTTTGTAATTCCTGGGGAATGAAAGCTGCCTTACAGGCCTGATCCATGTAGCTCTGAGCCTTGAAATTCTTCCCTGTAAGATGCTTATTTCCAAAGACCAGAAGAGAAGCACACCCCAGATGTAAATAGCTTATTTAAAACACTCTTAAATCTTCCATGGTGCGGAGAGCACTGTCTGAACAACAACAATACTCTCAAGGAGGCTCACAAAAACAGCTGCACTCCAGACCTCGATGAAACATCCTAAGCTCATCATTACATTTCACCCACGCTCCTCACTGACAGTTTTGAGGTGGCTCTGGGCCAAGACATTTGAATGCTTGGGGTCAGCAGCAGGAGAAACACCAGAACCTCCTCCTGGCAGGTCTGTCCCTGCTAGCTGTTGGGAGCTGCTCTCTCCTCTGCCCCAGCATATTGCCCAGATACCGCAGCACACCTGTGTGTAAGGCTGGCCCTAGTGGCCTTTGGATGGAAACGGTGTATTCTCCCCTGGGCAAGGCGAGAACCTTTGGTCTGATACGTTCCCCAGCCAGGCCCTCAATAACTCTCTCCCTCTTCCCTCAACAGTTTTACAGAGCGATCTTTTGTTTACAGAGCAAAGGTCTCGCGTACTCTCGATCAGCCCCAGCCTCTTTCTCGTCGTGCCTTCCTTATCCCTGTTTGCCTTTGGCAAGAAGAGCAGCAAAACTGGCCCGAGCAGCAGCTCACCCACCGGGGGGAAAGCTCTGCACCTTTCCAAGGGCGAGCAGCAGCTTCCCCTCGCGCTGCCCAGAGAGCCACAGGAGGAAGCACGGCCACTGCAAAACATGTTTGCTCGGCCGTAATATTCGTAGGCCCACCGAGCCCAACAGCAGGGCCACCAGGGGTGTTCAAAAGCACTCGTCTTGCTGGGGGAGACCTCCCAGAGTAGATCAGCTCCTGTTGTACTCAGAGCAGGGGAGGGGACGCGGTGTCCCCTTGTCAGGGGACAAGGGCTTGAGGCAGAGCTGGTGGCCTCAAGAGCGACTCCTTGTGCTCCTGGCAGTCACCACGGCCCTGATGCACACAGACCATGGGGCTGGAGGCAAGGAAAACTGTTTTTCTTGCTGTAGGTCAGCTTTCTCATCAGTGCTAACACAACCTGCTGCTTCGCTGCCGTCAGATAACAACCGCTAAACCCTAAACTCGGGGACCTGCACCAAGCAGCCTGCAGGTGAGCTGGAAAACACTACGGTCACGGTTTAATTTAAAAGCCTGGTTTTCAGGTGACTTTGTGGCACTGAACAAGCACTGGACACACAACCCCAGAACGGCGTGGTGTGGCGTGCTGTCCCTGCCCGACCCTCAGCCAGGCAGATCTCCTCACGAAGCAAAGACTGCGGTGAAAAGTCGCTCCCTTTCAACGCCCGGAGATAATACACGGGTTAATTAGCAAAGCCCCAAAGCCCTGGGTTAACGCGAGGCGTGCTGGTGACCTGAACTGGTTTAGTTGGGGCTGTTGCTAAACAACCCGGCTTCACTCCCGGCACATTTCTCGCCTCCCCGCATCGCACCACAGCGTATTTTATAAAAATACCCAAGGTGGAGCGGCGCGGTCACAGAACCATAAAACACCCGCGTTCAAAGGGACCCTCAGGGAGTGGATCCCAACTCATGCGTCCCCAAGGGACCCCAAAAAACCTCACCGTGTGTCTGAGCGTGGTGTGTGTGCGCTCCTTGAGCTCCATAGGGCTCGGGGCTGTGCCCCTATCCCTGGCGAGGGATGTCCCTGATGCCCACCCCCGTGCCCCGAGCCGCCCCCAGACCCCAGACCCCGTTTCCCCTTGAGGCTGCCGGGCTCCAGCACCGCCACAGCCCCGCTGCCTGGCTCCCGGTTCCCCGGGGCTCCCCTCACCCCCCGCAGCACCCACCTGGGGCCGGGCGCTGTACTTCATGCTGCCGCCGGGCTCCATGGCGAGCGGGGCCGCCTCAGGCCGCCATGGCGCGGCGCTCCCCGCGCTGCCGGGCCCGGCCCCGGCCCCGGTCCCAACCCCAGCCCCAGCCCCGGCCCCGGCTCCTCCTCTCGGCACCGCCCGGCAGGTGCCGGCAGCAGGAAGGGGCCGCCCGGTGCCCTGCTGAGGGGGGCAGCCGCCGGCTCCCTTCACGAAGGATCCCTGCACGGCAGCAGGGCTCGCTCTGCACAGCCCCTTGCCGGGGTGACAGCGGCGGTCCTGCCTCGAAACCTCCCCTCAGAGACAACCCTCACCGCCACCCCACACGGTTTTCCCCCCCAGGGTCGAGCCCACCCTTTGCAAACACTCACATTGGGTACGCTCGAGGGCTGCCAAAGCCAAATGTTTCCTGAAGGCTGCTCTCTGCCGGGCTGTGGCACCTGAGGAAGGAGCCGCCTCTGACCAGAGCAGACCAGATGCAAGACGCCAAGCACGGCAGCAGGAACGGCACGTGTGCCAAAATCGTGTCTGTCCGCTGACCCGCAGTCTCCTGGGGACTGGATGGTCTGGTATGAAAGGGTGCTCCCAGGCAGGAAAAGGCAAACACCCGGGGTTTGAGAATGATCTAATGTAGATGTGAGAGAGGGCTTTCAACAGCCAGAACTTGCATTCCTGACACTGTCTTACTCCATCATTTTTAATTCTCAGTAAGGTGACCACCACACACTGATTTCTAGGCTTCCTACATTCAACAGTAGTCAGGACTAAAGACAGCTGAACCAATACCATCTTTCCTGGAAAATTTTCCCTCCTCTGTGTTACACGTGATAGCCTATACCAACATACCGAGTCTGAACTGGCCATCCTTTACACCAATTTCAGCCCTGAAACTGATTTATTTCCACGACTGAAGTCCCAGAACTGTTTTTGGCCTAACAGAAGTTGTCTGCTGATTACCAGTGCCTCAGGGAGATGTTTGCTGGGTTACCTTTGTTTGCCCTTGCTTTGAAATGTCTCCAGCAGAGTGCAAGTTTCCTGTCCCGTTTGTAGGTGTCTCCGTGGGGAAAAAAAGAAATCACATCAGCTCTATGGTCCTGCTGTTTTCTCTTTAGGTGAAAAAAACAACTTCTGTGCTCTTACAGAAATATTTCTGCCACTGCTTCCCAGCCCCCTCATCAGCCACCAGAATCCCCTCCGCTTGCTGAGCAAAGCACAGCAGGAAGTGTCTCCGGATTTAAGGTATTCCCCTTCAAAAGGTGGCTTTGTTAGTCAGCCTGCTGAAACTACCTGGCTGGCTGATGTCAGGGCTGCTCTCGGCTCCCTCGCTGGTGCCCAGCCCAGCCCAGCGCTCCAGTTTTACAGCCACTCCCTCCCTGGCCGACTGCAGGTGCCCCGGTCTGATTTAACACCCCAGTGAAACAGCATATTTCAGGTATAAAGTAGCTATTGCGAGCTGAACCACTGCTCTTTGTTTCTGTAAATTTCTCTTCCTCTCCTGCATATCAATTCATCTCCTCCAGGCAGGTGCCAAGCAAACACTGTGCTCTGGGATGTGGCTAATGAGGGCTAGACACAGACTCACTCCTTGAAGCCTAAGGTGTCTTGCAAAGATCCACAACTCCTGGTTTCACACGGAGCTGTGAAGGCTCCGTGCTTCCTGTTATTCAAGCCACTGACATTTTACAAACTAATTTATTAGCCCACATGGGTCTTTGAACAAGGGGACGTAATCACTGCTAGGAAAACAAGAAAACAATACATGTGCTAAATATAAAATATTATATAGCTGGAAGGCAGTCAGTTCAGAGCCCTAAATGATAGGATTCCCATTTCTTTGTTGCTGAAGCAACAATTTATTTAGTGGAATTGTTGTAGTACTGGCTAAGTCACCACAGTAGATGATGGCCCCCTCCTTCTGACCACTATAAAGACCCAGAACATCAAGCAGCAATTCTCAATAAGCAGTCTGCCACGTGCTTTTGCAGTAGTAGACACTTCCATGCGTCTCTCCAGTCTGACTGAGCCCAGCAAGTCAGTGTCTCCACTATTAAGAAAGATGTAATTGAAGCAGAAAGATCAAGCAACTTACTCACTTGGAATGGTAGTAGTCAGCAACAAACAAAGCCTCCATTTCTGCCCACTTACATCAATTCATTCAATAAAAGCTGTCATCTCTTCCACCTAACCTTCTCTCTTTGTATCAGTATGGCCACAACAGCAGCGTGAGAGCAGAAAGTCAAGGTTTAACACACCTTCAGGAAGGAGATTACTTACTTTAGGTATTACCAAAACTCGTGGAACCAAGTCTGCCTTTGTTGTAAGTGTACACAAGTTGCAAGAGCTAAACCACGGCGAGCTTGATCCCCAGAAGAGTTCTAAAGGAGACCCGGATTGGCTTCTGGGATCAGCAGCCAACACTGTCTGAACTGGCAGAATACTTCCAGCCCCAGCTCCCAGCCCTGGAAATGCCATGCAGGGAAAAGAGGGGAAAACACAGCTGCTTACACAAGGAGCGAAGGAGGCTGCCTGCAGGGGAAACGTCGTCTGGTGGAGGCAGTTCCCAGTAATTCTAGCTCCACCAAGGAGCACCGTCCATCCACATGGCCACACCAGTGAAGGGCTGGATTCGGTCAGTGACAAAGGGTTTTCCTCACTGCAGTGTCTCAAGGATTCTGTTCTCAGTGTGACTCCTAAATTCAAATTTCACCGACAGTGCCCTCCCACCCAGATTCCTGCCAGACAAGCCTGAAACCACCCCACGTATGTCTGCAGCGAAAAACTTTCAATCCGGTTTGGCAACTTGGACAGCGATACAAAAGATTGGGAGAGAGATAAAACTCACAGGGTGTCCTGTTACTTTGCATTCCAATGGGTAAATAAAGGGCTGATTCAGTGGGAGGAGAGGAAAACGTCATCCAGAAGCACCGTGGTTTTCAGCTGAACCGGCAGCCCCCAGAGAGCAAAGGAGCGTGACCTGGTGGTGAACACCGGGTACCACTCAGCTGATGATCACAGGCACAGCTCTTCCTGCTTTCAGGCCTGAAGCAAGTTGTCTTGGTGTGATTCAGCCTCTCCATCTGTAATGCAAGGGGAATAATTACTGACCTTGGAGAATGGGACCTGCAAAAGCGCAGCAAGTTGCCTTCAATTGGCCACTTGATACTATGAAGGCAGAGCTGAGCTGTGGTGCTACTTTTCAGAAAGCTTTTCAAGGATTACTGTTTAATTTGGACGGGAAATTAACCTTTGATCTCAAATGCTTCTTTCAAGAGCTCTGGAGTGGGAATCCTGCTTCCAGAACACAAGTTTGGCAGGGATCACAAGTAGCTTTGCCCCTTACATCAGTAATACCAGCCACTTCCACCTGCTTTAGTGCTTAGCCAGATCAGTGCTCATTACAGAGCCTTCCTGAGATCATGAAAGCTGGCCAGAACACAGGGCACTAATGATTAGCTCTATCCTGTGGACAGTATGGGCATGAGCAGTGAGCAAAGGATGTGATAGTATGAAACCAGTCTGCAATGAGAAAGTCCACCCTCAGCTCTTCAGCATGCCCCAGACAGCTCTGAGACACACTTTCAGAATTAAGGGGGGATAATTTCTTGTGTCTCTGTGGAACCAGCCACCTGACAGTTGTGTGATGGGGAATACAAAGAGCTAGGAAGTATGTCATAAAACGTAAGCTTGCTGCCAGGATGCTACAGTTTGCTGGGTCTTTCTTGAGCACTTCCATGGCTCATGAAAAGAAGAACCTCTTTAGTGAGCTGTGAATCAGCAACAGCAGAGATTGCCAACCAAACTCTAAGTGCAATAGAGTGGACAAGCCTGACTGCCAGGTTTCTGGCACTGCGTGTTTTGAAACCCAGCTGCACACTCAGGCACGCCCAAGATTCAAAGTCAGTTAAGGTTCTGTCTGTCTGCCTGACAAGCTACAAGTGCATAAGATCTGAGAGAAATGCAGACAATGTATTGAATTGCCTATATCTCTTCGGCTTGTTACAAACAAGTAGATCTAACTTGTGCCCACGTGTTATGCTTCCTCATTTTCAACAGAAAATAAAAGTTCAGACTGTGTGGGTGTAACCTCAGCTGTTTACAACCGGAAAAAGAAAAAAAAAAAAGGACGCAGACTTGAGTTTTCACTTATTCCTCTTTAATTCCTCTTATTTCTCTCACTTTGCTGGTGCGGGATATGGTATACATGTATACTGGGTCATATAGTTTTGTTGTTGTTGTGTTTTATTTTATTTTTTTGCCCAAGTTTGTATGGTCCAGCTTCTGTTGCCTTTCAGTCAACATACTGCCTGGTGTACTTCCAGTTATCCCTCTAGTGGGGTATGGCAAGACTGCATGTGCTGTCAACCTGCCCACCCTAAAGCAGGAAAACTGGTGTGAACTCACCCACAGAGTTCAGTCTGCCAGAGGTGAGAAGTGATACGTGCTGTCCCAGATGCTGCTAGTACTCTCTAGGATGAGGTAGCAGGGTGGATGAAACATCCTGCTGGCTAGATCAGGCTTGCAGACCTGCTCTAGTCCATTCTCCATCCCAAAAGTAAGATCACTATGCATGTTTGTCTGCCTCCCCTCCTCCCAACACAATCTATTCTAGCATTAGGTGACTTACTTTCTATTTAGTGGTGCAGGAGCAGAAGCAGAACAGAACGAGGGTGTGGGCATCCTGGGAAGGACAAGGACACTTCCACAGACAGAAACTGATCCTTTAATTTAGGGATGAGCAGCCTTTGGCATGGAAGACCAAGAGAGCTGCGAGAGGGTTCTCCAAGTTCAGCAGGCGCTGGGAACCACTGCTAAGCATGAGATGGGGTCCTGGAAACCTGCTGAGCAGCAGCACCTCACCTCTAACACTCACACACACCATTTCTACACAGTAAAAGATTAAAAAAAAAAAAGAGCTTTTTCAGGGATGGGCAGCAATGGCAAACCTGGTGAAGCTGAACCTCTGCCACAGGCGTGTGAGGACAGCAAAGGAAGAGGCTATGTACCTTACACTGCTGGTGATGGAGCTGCTTTCATGTCACTTGATTGATCTCCTGGGTGGTACCTGCACTGTCACTTGTCTCAGCCCCAGCACAAGTCAGCTCTGCAGTATTCACAGGGAAGTTCTGACTGCAAGCAAGCTGTGTAGATCTTGCTGCAAAGGAAAACACGATGTGAGAGTGTCTAGCATCTGCAGCAGCGCTCACAATAGGAGGCAGCAGTGCAAAGTACAGTGGTGGAAACAGCAGATTTATAAACACAGTAAGAGCTGAAATTTGTTCTTCCTACAAGCAGACGACATCTCTTGACTTCTGTGTAGGGCACAGATTAATTCTGTTATTTGTATCAGGGTTTTTTGACTTGTGCCCTCATAACAAAGTAATCTCTTTAGCTACATTTCCTTGAAAATCTGTATAATGAGCAGGGAATCAGTAGGCTTGTGGCATCAAGATACAGCATACATTGAAATCCAGTTACACAAAGGAGGAGCAGACTCTTTGTACCTATAGCAAAAGCACAGGGAAATCTCACAGAAAAACCTACGTGGAAGCAAGCAGCATTTGTCATCAGCAATTGATTCACCTCATAACAAAACCAGGATATGCTATGGTACAAAGAACCTCACCTGTCACTTTCTCCTGGTGGGGCCCTGGAATAGGCACAAAACCCCTAGGTAGAGGTACCTCATCTGGAATATTTAAAGTTTAAACCTGGTTGGGCCGAAGTTCTAGTTAGTCCCTTTCCATAATGATAGGGTGAGGGATTTTTTGCTAGGTTTTTGCTTTTAAAAGCAGACTTTCTTATCGGAAGTTCTCACATCCATACCCCTGCAGTTTGTTTCTGAAAGACTATAGTGCTTCCCACTGCCTTTTAGAAGTTAGCTGAGGCTGTGCTGAATATCTGTAGCAGGACTAGCACTTGGCTATGGAAGAAAAGGAAATGAAGAACCACCGATCTCAGCATTTTCACCTAGGTCACGCAGCCAAAAGGGTGACCACACCTGACTTAAAGAATAATGCCCCTATTGTGTAAGAGCAGACATAATCCTCACCCTCATTTCTGTCCTGTTCCGTGTACGATTTAGACTGACAGATGCGAGCTATCAACTTGCCTGTGTTTGTGTGGGGACAGACCTCTTGGTACTGAGCTCTGCCCTAAACAAGTTAGGAGAGTTTAGATTGCTCCTCAGGGGGGGCTGGCATAGATGGGGGAACACGGTGGAAAACAGCAGCTGTCTGCCATCAGCCTGAAGCATGCAGCAAGAGGGAGAAAGGGAACCTGACCATGGTAAGCTGCTGACTGAGAGGACTGGGCGTGACGGCACTCCTAGCACAGAGGTATGTGTCATTAGGAGCTGCTTTACTACATATACCCTACACGCATATGTATGTACATAGATGTGTGAATATAGATATATGATGCAGGTGATGCTCCTGTAGGACACTTTCCTTTGGCAGTACTGTTGATGAGCAGCTGGGATAATTCCAGTAATTCTCTTTTTAGAATTTCCCTCCTGCAGGCCAGAGGGTGCTGGTTCAACCAAACCAATGTTGTGCTTTTGACTGCACAGTACTAACTACAAAACGTGAGCAGCACTGAACACAGGCAATTAGCCTCTTTTTACGCTGTACTGAATCAGAACAGGTGGATGTTTTATTGTGAATTCTCTGCTTAAGAAACACCCAGGGCTTTGGTGAAGTCTGCTTGCTTAGTATTGCCTCCCAACCCAGAAGTTTGGCCTGAATCTTCCAAATATTTCTTGGTGCAGCCCTGCTATATGCCAGACAATAAATCCTGGGTCTGTATCTGTGTATCTGTGATGCTGCACATCTTCATTGGGCTGTTAGAAAGGTGCAGATGATCTTAATGATTTGCATTGCCACATGGAAAACTGAGCTGGAAGAACTTGAAAAGATACAGAGCATGACAGGAAGGATACTGAAAAGCACAGATGAAGCTGAGGCATTTTTAAGCCTGGAAAAGAGATGGGAAAGTAGGAACACGCAGTTCCACAAAATCACTAATGGCCCACTAAACAGGACTTATTTATACTCTATCACATCGCCTTTTTCAACAAGAGAGAAAACAGCCTTACAGCAGAAGTTGCACAAATGCTGACAGTTTTTCCATAAGAAATTCATCAGAAGTCACAAGCCTGCCAGCAGCTATGGATGTGGTTACCAGCAGCTATGGCAAGGCATTTTGGTTGCCCTTTGGAACAACAGTGTGGTTAAGAAAAGATAACTTGCACAAGGAGTGCCATGCCATGCTGCTCCATAAGATGATTTGGTGTCATAAACTATCTCAACATCTCCGTCAGCTATCACTAAGGGCACACTCACCTCCTCTGAGCCTTCCCTTAACTTCCCATTTATCAGCCAACACCAGCTCCATGCAGGGTCAGCTATTGCCTACCCACCCTGCTCCAATCTGCTCTCTTACCACAGCTGAAACACAAAGCTGGCCAGAGCTCTGTGGGGT